CCCGGATGTTGTGTTGCCAGCGCAACCACTGCATGCAACTTCTCAAGCGTAAATATTTTCATTTTTTTTTTTTTTTTTATGCTATGATTCAAAATTATATCTTACAGTCAAACCAAGTAAAGCGTAGCCCTCAAGATTATATTAATAAATTGATTATTTGAATGTTGAACCCGCTAGTCGTTTCAAGAATGCAATAATGAGTTGATTAATCGAATATTGAGCCCACTAGTCGTTCCAAGAATACAGTTAATGGGTTCAATATTCGAAAAAAATCAATTCATTATGGCATTTTTGAAACGACTAGCGAGTTTAATTTTTAAACAATCAATTCATTAATGTGGTTTTGATGGGTGCGCTTCACTTGGTTTGACTTTAATTATATATCGTTCATGTCATGTTTAAGCTTGCATAAATTAGAATACATTATGTTGCACGTGACGAGTGGTGTTGTTGAAAATAAACGAATTCAAGATGTCGCTGTGTGCGTCCGAGTCTTAGTGACAAACATTACATGGTACCAGGAGTAAAATGGATTCGTTCAAGCCTCCGGAAGCTTTGTCGCTTCAAGGAAATCCAAGTGAAAATTGGAGAAGATGGGTCCAACGATTCGACCTTTATCTGACGGCGTCTGGCAAAATANAGTTAATAGTGACAACAGTGTGGAACAGACATTTTTAGCAATTTTCTGTGAATTGTTGTCACATAACTTGTTGACCTACTTTGTTATTCCTTTGTTTTCTTTTGTTTTCGGTTTTGTTTATTTTTTTTTTTTTATTGGAAAGGAAGATGTCATGTTTAAGCTTGCATAAATTAGAATACATTATGTTGCACGTGACGAGTGGTGTTGTTGAAAATAAACGAATTCAAGATGTCGCTGTGTGCGTCCGAGTCTTAGTGACAAACATTACAGTTCATATTTACAAATGAGGTAATAAAAACAAGTATAGCATAATATCATTGTCTTTCCTTATTTTGTTCACTCCTATCTTCTTAAACCAGTCCATTTATGCTTCCTGTAATTGACTTGCAACCCGTGCGCTACACGACTACGGATCAAAGTCGTCCATACCAAGAGAAAACTCTATATAATCAACTAAGCTGCTTTGCTCTTAACGGGTCCCTTTTTAGCTAGACGTATAGAGGAAAACTAAAATTCATGACTTCTGGTATACAAAAGGGTTCTGATATAACAGAAACCTAACAAAGAAGTGAGCGCAGCGGAGAAGCTCTCGACAACTAGATGTCGGTTGCAATTTCTGTGGACTTGCTTATAGGTTGTTTGGAGGCCTGAGTCGTCGACCATCTCTTGAGTAATGGTTCTAAAAATCCTGTTCGTCTGGTGACCCTCTGGTGACGTTTTTAATACACGGGAATTGCTTCTTTCAATGCGTTGCTCCCTTTTCTTTTGAGATTTGGGAACCCTTTTGATTCCGTGAGTTGAAATAGTGCTAGACCAATCATATCCAACGCAGACTTTTCAAAGTCACATAGCATTTGCAAAATGTAGAGCCTTGAATATAATGATAACACACGTCATCTTCAAACAACTGCAGTAACACTGATACAGAAGAAGACCGAGCCATGATGAAATTTCCAAGCCTCGCTCACACCGACTCACACTGATTGACTTCTGGTATAGAAAAGGGTTCTGAAATAACAAGTCAATAGCGGCAAAAGCTAGCATATTTAAACTATTGATGGAGAACACACGTACAATGCCCATAGGGCAAAGCGACTTTTTGTGTAACAATCTGTACACTTGCGCACAACAAGTTGCAGCGTGTCAAGCTTTGTAATGTTGCCGTCGCGCAATGGTGCAGAGAACATAACGTCGAGCACTCGCCATACTTTGCAATTAAGCTAAAACGTAGTGACGTTTTTGTACCATTGTGTCCATTTAAAATCCAGTAACTCATGTCCTTTTAGACTGCTTTTGTTTTCAAATGCTGTTATATCGTACGGAGGCCTTATCCTCACTAGCTTGTACTCACCGATATTTTACCACAGCTGCAATAATTCAAAGGAGCAGTCCTGTAACTGATTATATCAACTTTTACCGTAAGTTTCAGATTTAAAGTAGAAACTTATTTTCTTAATTAATGCATTTATTTTATTGAGATTTACGTGCTTGTTATATAGAAAATATTGGGTGCAAACAAAAAAAAAAAACACCGAAAAAGGAAGGATGACAGTAATACAATGCAGCAAAAAAACATACATTTAGTGTTAATGAACCTTACTTTGAGGGGATTCCTATTGTTTTCAGCGTCATTTTGCGCAGTTTGTAGTTTAATTCACACCTTACTCCTATGGAAGCTTGAAACACATTCGACGTTATGTATAACTTGCCTCAAGAATCTGATAATTCCTGGGATTTTGATGAGACTACTGATGAGCACTTTCAAATTATTTTTTTGGGCGTCAACTGTTAATTTTTTAGAGTTTTTACATTTTACACAGCATGTCCAGACAAATGCGATTGCAGAAGTTTGTTTCCGTATAACGATTTTGTGAACGTCTTGTGTCAGGCCAAACAGCTTCTGTCTATCCCGCAAAAAGTGACGGTGGATGCAAACAGAATGTAAGTATGCATGGGAGCTGCAGTTCCCCAGGAAAGAGGGGCTCTCTCGTTATGGGCTTTTTTTGGTACTGTTTGTGTGTAGTTCTTCAAAGGAGTCGTTTTGAGTGCTGCTGTCCAGGTCTTAACAGTCCGGTAGTATGCCAGTTTTGGAAGAAGCGCTGACGTCACGATTCTATTATTTCGCCAAAATCGTAAAAACATAATCGCGAAAGAATATGGGCTCTTAGAAAAGCTTGCTAGCGTTTTGAACACTAGGTGCATTTTACGCTCAATATTCTGGCAGAAAGTAGAAATGACAGCCAAATTAAAGCGAATACTTTTACCCTGATATTCCCCCGCGTTCGGCCGCCATCTTGGATCTTTTCATGTTTTGCAAATGCTCATCGCCATGGTGATCATGGTTTGGTTCGTGACGTACAGCATTGTTCTCGCTTCTTCCAAAACTGACATACTACCGGACCGTTTAAGTCGAGGTATTATTTTGACCAACATCAGCTTGGTAACCTACATGGCCTATTCTTTTGCTTTGCTACTATCTATACAGGTTTGGCTTTATATATCTTGTAATGGTCAGCAAAAGTTTACATTTTTCGACTGAACATTTGTTTTATTGTAATACTACTTATTTTTATAAGTGTAAATACGATTAGGAAGAAGAATAATTTGTACTGCTAACAGAGTACATGTAAGTACCAAGCTAGAAGAATCAGGTAGCTTAAAAGAAATGGTATCTCTAAGCTGTAGGTAAACACAATACCATAATGTATTATTTTACTACAGTAAGTGCTGTCCTTAACTGGATTGCAAGCATCACCAATTGACTCTATGCGTAATTTTTACAAGTGCGAGAAAGCTAATTTATGTAGCCTGCTCGATTCGGGCAGGCAGATTTCTTATTGGTTGAAATTAACAAAGCCAAGTCCACGAGTCCAGCCGTGAGTTCGGGGAAGGAGTGCGGGCTCCTTTCCCGAGCAGCGGCTGGTAATCGAGCCTATACAGATACCTGACGACTACAAACTTGTGTCTTTTGATGTAAATTCACTGTTCACCAGTATTCCACTTTAATTGGCATTACAGTGTACCGAGACCGCTATACAACAATCTACTGTTAAACTACCGTTACCGACAGAAGACATCATGGAGGCCCTTCATGGAGTTACTGAACCTTTGCCTTACATCGAGTTACTTTCAGTATAACGGTAAACACTACAAATAGCTGCATGGAACAGCCATGGGGTCGCCTGTTTCTGTTGTTGTCGCAGAAATTGTGATGCAACACGTGGAAGAACGCGTCCTTGCAACTTGCCGACAAACGATACCGCTTTGGTTACGCTACGTTGACGACACCTTTACCGCCGTTCACAAAGACGAAATTGACGATTTTCACGACCACCTCAGTAAACGAACAGAACGCCGACATCCAGTTAACTAAAGAGATTGAAGAAAATGGAGAACTTCCTTTTCTAGACTGTTTGGTAAGCCGCGAAAACAACGAACTGCGAGCGACAGCGTACAGAAAACCGACGCATACCGACTGATTATTTAACGAATCATCCTACAACCCGACTTCACACAAAGCCACGACTATAAAAACTTTTTGTCAACTAGTTTGTGACACACCGGACGGCTTACTTGACGAAAACAGATACCTTGAAAGTGTTTTTCACAAAAACAACTACAACGCTGACTTTATTAGACGAAACATTTACCGACCTACTGAAGCTGACGCAACGAACAGGAACCCAACGCCTGTTACTAGAGTGACCATACCTTACATTAAGGGTACTTCTGAGACTATTCCACGGATCCTACAGCCCTACAACATCCGTGTAGCCCACAAACCTACAACTACGTTACGACACTTACTGACCAACGTGAAAGACAGAGACGAACCTAACGACAGACAGGGAGCAGTTTACAAGATCAAATGCTCCGACTG